GGAGGAGGAGGAGGAGGAGGAGCAGCAGCAGCAGCAGCAGCAGCAGCAGGAGGGGGGGGGGGGCGGTGGAGGAGAGCGGCGCTTACACGGGGACCGGCGCCGCGGGCGTGCGCTGCGGCGGCTGCGGCGGCGCCCGCGACGCGCACCGTCTCGGCCTCCAGCGCGCCCGGGTCCGCCGTGCCGCCGAGGAGCCCACGCGGGCGGGCCGGGGCGGCCGGCGGGAACACGGGGCCGCCCGCATCGCTCTCGCGTCGTGGCTGCGCCCCGTGGCTTCGCCTCGCCTTCGCTCCGCCTTCGCTGGGTAGCAGCGTGTTCGCTTCGGGCCCGTGCTCCCTCGCGGTCTGCCCTCGGCGGAAAGAGCGCGCCCGCGCGGGCGGGCCCGCGAGCGCGCCCGCGCTGGGAGGCACCTCGTAGGAGGTCCTCGCCAGCACGAGGCAGGGCGATGCGTCTGCGCGGCCCTGCCCTCGCAGTCGCCCGCCACGGCCGCCACAGGCACGAGAGTGGTGCTGCTGGCCATCGGACGCTCCGCGGCCTTTTGGGGGCACAGGTAGGACAAAAAGGGTGCGCGCGCTTCTCTCTCTCTCTCTCTCTCTCTCTCTCTCTTTTTCTTTCTTTCTTTCTCTCTCTCTCTCTCTCTCTCTCTCTCTCAGCGCGCGCGCGCGTCATGACACTGAGTTGGACGTCTTCGCTTTCCAGCCTGGTGGGGTGGTAGACCCACCGACGATAGTAGAACGAGATAAGGTACGAATCAGAATCTCAGAATCTCCCAATCCTCTGGCAAATCACCCTATAAAGCTCGACGGAGGGGAAATCAGGCTGGATAAATCCAGATTGGAACCAATATAGGGCCCGATCGAGACGGATTCTGCCAGATGGGGCAGGTTCTCGACCCTATTGTATACTAGCACCGATGCTGAGTGTAACCTCCCCGGAGTTGCATCCTGGCGCCGGGGGGGGGCGGGCTTCTGAGACAAACTGGGGCGTGTTAGAAAGCAAGCGGCCTTCTCAGAAGGGCCCTGGAAACTTCCAAAAGTGCTTCTCGGAAGCCGGGCGGGTTTCCAAGACGCCCCCGTCTGCCTTCTTGGAAGCCCGCCGCCTCCTTCGACGCACACCTTCGTCGCGCCACCCTCGTGTGGGCGAGTGGGAGTACGCGCCCGAACTGAGCACGAAAAGACGCCCAACATACACCCAAAATACGATGCCAAACAGCAAATGCTGCCCCAAACTGACGGCGGCCGCTGTTGGATAGGCGACTGACTTCCTGTGCCAAACGGGGGAAAACAAATGCTGCCCCAAACTGACGGCGGCAGCCGTTGGACAGGCGACTTCCTGTATCAAATGGGGGAAAGCAGATGCTGCCCCAAACTGACAGCGGCCGCTGTTTGGACAGGCGACTTCCTGTAACGAATGGGATCCAGAGTCATGCTGCTCCCATCGTACTTAAGGACCACATCCCAGAAAAAAATCGAGCACCTGAAAAAGTGTCGAAAGAGTGTCGAAACAGTGTCGGACGAGTGTCTCCCAGGGCCAGACACGTGAAAACCTTTTAGAGTGTTTGGGTACTGTGTTGGTGCTCGAAATTCTTTCTGGTGTTCAAGGCTAAAGTAGGTAGGAACATCATAACTGAAGGGGCCCCAGGACACACACAAATAAATACACACAGATACAATGATCCCCCATATTTCCTCAGATTTCCTGGGTTTTTGCCCCGCCGCGAAAATTGCCATAGTTTCCCATATATTTTTGGGGGGGGGATCGACGATTCCTTGTGTCTGTCGTTTTTTGTTCCCCTCCTGACTGACTCCAGAGGCGCTGAGAGCAGGACCACCCTGGGAGCGCCGCTCCTCGCACCCCGTCGGGGAGCCCCTCCTTGGCCGAGGAGGCCCGCCGTGGCCTCCTGGAAGCTCCACCCTTCCTCCCTCGTCGCCTCCGGTGGCAGCGCGACGCACTGCTAGCTCTCGATGGGAGAGACGAACGCGCCTCAATATTCTGAATCGGTTTCTAAAAGTAGCAGCTCTGTGGCTGTCCTAATCTCGAGATAAGTACAGAAAACTGTCAACACGTGTCAAGATGACTCGAAACGGCCGTCGGCTCCAGCATGTCTTTTGATAGTACTATTGCAGCTACAGAGCAGAGGCACAAGCAGCACAGAGCATGCGCTCGTGGCGCTCCGCGCGGAGTTCTTAGAGATCGGCGCCTGGCGCCGGGGGCGCCGCCTCCGGCGGGGGTCCCAGGCGCCGATCCAAGCCATCCGCGCGGAGCGCCAAAGGCTTCTGCTTATTATTGCGCTTGCTTGAAGGGGCTCTGGGGCACACAAATACATGTACACAAATGACGAGATCCCCCATATTTTCCTAGGATGTCCGGATTTTTGGCTTTTCCCCCCCCCCATTCCCATATTGTTCATAGTTTCTGGGGAGTCGACGATGAGTTGTGTCTGTGATTTTTCCCTCCTGATTTCTCTCCTTCGGCGCAGCAGGCCCACACCCGCGGCCTCGCGGCCTCGCGGCTCCTCGGCCGCGATGCCCCCGGGGGGCGGGCCTGCGCGGGCGCCCTGCGCGGGAAGCTGCTGAGCCTGGGTCGGGCATGCCCTCCTGCCTCTCGGAGTCCGGACGAGAAAAAAAAATAGCCAGACTGTAGCCCGACAGAGAAATAGGTCAGACAGAGAGAAAAGCCACCCCCAGACTATGTCTCGACTCCCCGACAGAGAAATAGGTCAGACAGAGAGAGAAGCCACCCCCAGACTCCCTCCTGTGGATCTCCCTCCTGTGGAGGGACATGCCCGACTTCAGGCTGCTTATGTAAGGCTGGGGGGTCAGCTCTGCAGAACACTCGGAGCGGACGTCAAGGGGCGCAACCAACCTGTTCGGTCGAGCTGAAACCGATGCACCCACGCCCGGCGTCACGCCGCGACTCTGGACATGAGCCACTGGCTGGAGGTCGCACACCTTCGTCGGCTTGACCGGCGAGGCGTCTGACCACCCTGACGTCCTTTTTGGGGTGGTTCGGCGGTGGGCAAACCTCCCTTTAGTAAACCTCCCCTTAGTGAAAACGGGGTAGGACCGAAACAAACGGACCTGGACCCGCAAAAATCACGGCCGCGGCGCCCTCTCGAGAACCGAAGACGGCCAATTCCTGAATCGACGTGTCAGCGTAGGAGGTCTTAGGGGAACAAAAAAGGACATAAGCATAAAAACTCGGAGGTCCGCGCGGATGTCTCGGATCGGCGCTGGACCCCCCTCCCTGGCGCTGGGTCTGCCCACCCCCTAGAGGTGGCCCTGCAGAGGAGGGCGCTCTCTGACCCCCGACCCTTGGAGGCCTGGAGATGGGCACCAACACCAACAAAGGGGGTTTGCCTCCACAGGGGGAGGACGATCCTGGATCTCGGTGCTGGTGGTACTAGTTCGGCCACCCTGGAAGCCAGAAGATTACCACCACCGAGATCGGGCCCTTCTTCCCTCGATGGAGGCACGCCGCCGATATTGGCGTTGGTGTCAACCACGAGGCCTGCGAGACCCTGCGCAGCCGCAAACGGCCGCCCACGGCACCGCGCCGCCGCGCGGCACCGCGCCGCCGGGGGGGCCCGACCGCGGAGGCCACGCCGCGTGGGCCCGCTCGCCCCCCCCCCGCCCGGCGCGCACGACGCGCGGCGCGGGGCGGCTTGAGCAGGGACGGACCGCCCCGGCATTCCTATAGTCCTGCCATGATGTCGGGCGTGTCCCCCTACAGGGGGATTTTCGACGAAAAACAAAAACCACAGAAATACACAAAAAGGTCAAACAATACTCCAAAAATAGTCCCCAGACTATTTTTGGAGTATCTTTTATTATTTGTGGGGTACTTTTTTATTCTTCGTCGAAAATCCCCCTGTAGGGGGACAGGCCCGACTTAATCCTACCACGAGATGCTCTTAGAGCCCCAAACATTTGTTCTAAGAACAGAAGCACTGTTCTTAGAGCATGAAGCCGATGTGATAAAACAAGACGGCCTCCGCCAGAACTGTGCTAAGGACATGTCGCGGAAACCACAGAAAAGGTTCTTAGAGCATTGCTTCGCGGGGCTATGGGCGAGCCAAGACGCTTCGCCACTGCTTGAGCGGCGCGGGGCCTTCTGGCCACACCTCCTGGCGCGCCGTCCGGACCAGCTCCATGCCGGCCCGCGCAAACACGGCCTGGCGGGTCGGAGGGGAGAAAGCGGCCGTCTTCCCTTGCGCGGTGCTGGGCCGCTCGGCGCACGCACACCCCAAGGGACCTCTCGAGCCTTCGCCAGGCCTGCGCAGTGTGCGCGAGAGCACGAGCGCAGCTGGGCGCCAGGAGTGCGTGCATGCAGCTACCAAGGGCTGCCAACTTCGCGCTTCGCGCTGCGCGAAGCGAGAAGCGCGAATAACTTCGCGGTCTCGCGCCGCCTCCTAGGGGAGAAGAGGAGGAAGAAGGATCGGAGCCGAACCGCGAAGCGCGAACAACTTCGCGCTCTCGAGGGCGCACTTGGCTACGGAGCTGTGTATTGTTCCCTCCTGACTCTGCCACGCCGATGGCAAGGAACAAATCCTACGGCGCAGCTGGTTTTCACTCAGGGAGCCCTTCGAGGTGACAAGCTGGCTCCAGGAGGAGTATTGCAGAAAGGCCCGCCGTGATCCCAGAGGTGGTGATGGCTCGGGCTGCCCCAGCTGCCCCTAGCTTCGATCTGTGGGATGCCCACTCTGGGGTGCTCCGAGCTACCCTTCTCACGACAATTGGCCTACGAATCGTGTATGGATGGGCCAGTGGGAGCACCCCAAGCGTCAAGAGCTCTGCTTTTTTGGCCAAACCCTGGTCGAAGAGTTTGGAGTCTGTCAGCTGCGCTGGAGCTGCCTGGGTTCTACTGTACTGATAAGACCGTGGACAGGACTCGGCAATGGAAAGATGTGCGTGTGCACGGGTTGGTCACCGAAAGGTCGGCGGCCCCACTGTACAACAAAAGATGAGTGCACAGAACCTCCATTCAACTGTACAGCACGCGCGTCATCGTGCAGATCGCGCACGAACCTTTGCAGAATTCTTATGGGACTGGGCGTAGATAGAAGAAGAGCAGGCGGCATCGACATAAGCTCCTGGAATTCCGAACGTTGGATGCTCGTTCTGGGGACCTTCCTGGAGCCACTCGCTTCACTCGTGCGTCGAAGCTGCGTCGAACGTCAGTCGAGTTGGGTCGACCCTGAGTCGAACCTGAGTCGAACCTGAACCGAACTTGAGTCGAACTTGAGTCGAACTTGAGTCGAACTGGAATCGAACAGATCCGTTAGGTGGGCTCCAGGAAGGTCCCCGAAACGAGCATCGAGCGAACGCGTCTCTCGGATCCGCGCTGAGCCAAACCCCGCTTCCTGGCGCGCGGAGCGCGCGCACCGGGGCCCGTCGCCAATCCGACGGATCCGCGCAGGGCTCCGAGAACGTACATCTGTATGCACCTCGCCGCCGTCGAGCACGGCCCCTCACCAGGAGGAAGAGGAGGAGGAGGAGGAGGAGGAGGAGGAGGAGGAGGAGGAGGAGGAGGAGGAGGAGGAGGAGGAGGAGGAGGAGGAGGAGGAGGAGGAGGAGGAGGAGCCTGCTCCGAGGGCTCCCAACTTCGCGCTTCGCTCTGCGCTCTGCGCGCGAAGTGCGAATAGCTTCGCGCTCTCGCGCCGCCTCCCAGAGGAGGATGGGGAGGCATCGGAGCCGAGCCGCGAAGCGCGGAGCGCGAAGTACTTCGCGCCCTCGAGGGCGCCCTTGCAGTTCTGGGACTGGGCGTGGAGGCTGGCGCGGCGGACGCCGTCGGCATCGAGCGGCGCCGGGCCCAGATGCCTCGCCTGCTTACTGGTGCTGCCTCGCTGGCACGAGCGACGAGGTGGCCGCGCCCAGCCGCACGCGGACCTGCTCGCCGCTGGGCAGCTCGACGGTGTACCGCTCGCCGCTGGCCGAGAGCACGCGGCCTTGCGCGCCGTTGAGGTCGGTGCGCCTCTGCATGCCCTCGATGGTCACCAGCGTCGAGGGAGGCAGCCTGATGCCAAGAAGGACAAACGGCGGCGTGAGCATGAACTTGCGCAGCTCCGAACGGGATCTCTCGGATCGGCGCCCGGGACCCCCTGGCGGCGCCTCCGGCGCCAGCCCTGGCGCGCTCCGCGCGCCAGCTATAGAGGGGTGTCCCGCGCCGATCCCAGAGATCCGCGGGGAGCGACAGCCATCCATGTTCATGCCTGATGCCGGCTTTTGCTCCTCAAGATGTGCTCTGGCCGGAGCGCCACGGGCTCGTCGGCGACCCCGGCGACGACGTAGCGGCCCTTGTCTGCGTCGAAGTAGGCCTCGGCGGCCACGCGGCCGTTCAGGTCCGCCCTCGAGGTGCCGACCACCTCGGCGCCCCGGAGCAGCTGCTGCAGGTTGCACGGCCTCACCGCCACGCTCCCGGTGCCGCTGCCGCCTCCTCCTGTGGGCGCCCGACGTGGGCACACAAAAAGGGGGCGCCCGTCGGCGGCATCCTGCCTCAAACGGACTACGTCTGCGGCGATGCCGACAGCGAGTGCTGTTCGAAGTGATGGGCAAAAACTGCATGAGGAAGGCACGGCAACCTGCATAAACAACTTCTTGGATGGTCACCGTGGGTTTCTTGCATCTGCGCAGGACCCACCAACCTGCCTGACGCGCGGAGTGCGCCAGGCGCGGCGCCAGAGGCGCCGCCGGGTGGGTCCAGCGCAGATCCACGAAATCAGCGTTTCTGCTTGTGCTATTTGCTCGTCTTGTCGTGGACTGCTGTCGGCCTTCATCCCCATAATCAGCTTCCGCGCCCCTGTCGGATCGCGCCGATCCTACGGCCACCAGGTAGCGCTGCCGCTCGTCGTCGAAGCCGACGACCTCCCCGCGCGCGCCGTTGAGGCCGGCGCTGGAGAGGCCCGCCAGCCGCACGCCCGTGCCGTCCGGCAGCAGGCCTGGGGAAGCAAAGGGAGGCACCGCCTTCACTGCTCCCCGGACTGAGGTCTGGGCGTGCCCTCTGACCGGCACTTCGGGGAGAGAGTCCGGCCGTGGCGACGAGGGCTCTCCAGGGTGAGCAGCGGTGTCGGGGCCTCCTCCTCCTCCTCCTCCTCCTCCTCCTCCTCCTCCTCCTCTGAGAAGGCCGAGCTGCGCTCCGCCGACGCTTTTTTCCCACAATTAACACGGGCCGGCCCCCCCCCGAGCGTGCCGGCCCTGTTCCCCAGGGCCGGCGTGGCTCCCGTGAGTTGTGTCCCTGGACACGGGCCTGGGGCCCGGCGAGGGCCCCTGGAGGCCGAGGAGGGCCCCAGGCCCTCCGCAAGGACAGGCGGGGTGACGAGCGTGTCCTCTGGCGCATATATGGCAGGGCCGGCTCGGCACACTGTGCTTCTCCTCCCCGGTGGCGGGCCGAGCGGCGCGCCGCCGCCCCGCCGCCGGCGCTTCGGCGCCGCCCCGCAGCGCTCCGGGCTCGGCGAGGAGCTGCTGGCCGAGCCCAGGCCCCCGAGGCCGCCCAGCAGGCCCGCCAGCCCGTCGCCGCCGGGGCCGCCGGGGCCGCCGAGGCCGCCGAGGCCGCCGCCGAGGCCCGCGCCGCCGAAGAGGGAGCGGAAGAGGTCCTCCGCCCGCGCGCTGGACATGCCGCCGAACTCCTGCGCGCCGCCGCCCGAGGAGAAGACCACGCGCACGCCTGGCGGCAGGCCGCCCGCGCCGCCGAAGGCGGCGCCGGCGCCGCCGAAGGGGCCCGCGGCGCCGGCCGGCGGGCCGCTGGGGGGGGGGCCGCCCCGGAGGCCCTCCTCGCCGTGCTGGTCGTAGACGGCCCTCTTCTGCGGGTCGGACAGGGCCTCGAAGGCCTCGGCGACCTCCTTGAACTTCTCCTCGGCGGCCGCCTTCTGTGCCTCGGTGCTCTTGGAGTGCCTGTCGGGGTGCCACTTCAGCGCCATCTTGCGGTACCCCTTCTTGATGGCGTCGGCGGAGGCGTCGCGGGCGACGCCGAGGATCTGGTAGTAGTCCTTGCCCATGCTTGTGATGGACTCTTGGGCTTCTTGGACTGCGGGGCTCCTATAGGAGGAGGGGCTCCTATGACCAAGGAGCTGGAACACAAAATGCCTTGAGCCAGAATCGCTCCGGTTGCTGGTTGTCCAGGGTGGTCGTGAAAGGTCGGGGAAGTGCTCTCTCGTGAACTCGCGTCATCTGGACCTCCGGCGCGCGAAGAAGTGGAACTGCCCATCGCATCGCCCCCGAGGACTGAAAACCCGGAGTCCTCCAGATCCGAAGCAGGGACCCACAGCTGGCGGTTTCCCATCCAGGGGGCTCCTCGCAAAATCGGCCCCTGGAACACTCTCAAGAGCGCCCCAGCAGGAGGGGGGAAGGGAAGGGGGAGAGGAGAGGGAGGGGAACAGGGGTAAAAGGGAAGGGGCGAAGGAGGGGAGGAGGCGGGGGAGGAGCTGAAGGGGGTGGTAAGGTCACTACATACAACAAGTACCGCCCAACCGCAGAGCGACACAATCCCACCGGCCAGTTAGGGCGTAGGTGGTTTCTTCCCCTTCGGGGAGGAGAGGGCCATCAATGCTCCTGATTCCCTAACAACACCTCCCCTATTCGACCGGCCGCAAAACCAGGAAACACACCATGAGATCCCCCACCATGTCTGCACCATAGCAATGACCAAAAAACGCGCGTGGCGGTAAAATCTGGATTGCAAGCGGGACACATGCGAGCATGTGGCATTGCCTTTTGACTCGGACGGCGGGGGTGTGAGCAGACGTGTCCGCTGCGCGCTGCCCCACAATCCCTGTCAAAGACACATGCTAACTCATTGAGGGTGCACACGTCATACACCTTCCGGCCGCCCCGCTCTCACTTCGAACTGGCTGCTGACCCAGATGGCCGCGGAGTTGGACAGATTGCCCGATGTGTGCTGCCACATGCACTGGCGCACCTGGCGCACCCTGAGCGCGTCGTGCACCTGGCGCACCTGGCGCGGCTGGAGCAGCCGTCGTACTTGGTGCACGTGGCGACTCTGGCGCACCAGGCACGCCTGGCGAACTCAGGCCCCGAGGGCACCTGGCGCACGTGGTGCTCGCAGCGCACCGGGCACGCGAGGCGCACCTGGCGAGTGTCGAGCGCCTGGAGTGGCAACCTGTACCTCGGCTGACTCACTGGTGCGATTCACATGGTGGGAAGGAGAGCGTGCGTGAGCGACACAGCTCGTGGCGCTCCACTTGGGAACTGCATACAAAAAAAAACACCTGCGAGCTTCGCGCGCGCGATCAGGTTCTAGCAAGCTGCAGCCCTTCCTAAGCTCACAGCTGCGTGCAGATGTGCACCGACAACTGGAAGTGCAGTGGACTGAGCAGCGAGGGAGCGGACCGACGCACGACGGGCTGCCGAGGGAAGAAGGGTGGGCCCCTGCGAGCTCCAACGTCGCAGCAGTGCAGAGGAGGGCAGGGAAGCGAATGCGGAACAACTGCAGATGGCAGTGCAGCGCACAGCGTTGCCATGGAGACCGAACGCAGGGGCGCTGCGACGGAGCGCAAGCCGATGCCCTGCAGTGGGGGGCCCATCGTGGAGTCCGAGGCCCCGGCGAAGGGCTCGTCTGCGGCCCAGGCGCCGCGACGCGCGGGGCCCGATGATCTCTCCGCGCCCCCCGCCGGTGGCCCGGACGAATTGCACCCGCCGCGGAGAGCACGGGCCGCTGGTCGAGAGGGCAGCGAGGAGGAGGGGCGGGGAGAGCGAGGCCAGCACTCCCCATGGCCAGGCCTCACTTCTGTAGGGCCTCCAAAAGAGCTCCCTCGGAGAGGAGCGAGAGGGCCTCGACGGGTGGCTCCAGTATAGGGGTTCTCCAGAGGCCCTCAGAGCTCGCAGAGGGTGGTCATTGCTGGGGGGTGCACCGGCTGACGCTGACTTCGGCTTGTCTGGGATCCCCCCTCTCGGGTCGTCCACTACCCTTCTCCCGACAGCTGGCCTACGAATGGCTTCTGGATGGGCCAATGGGTGTACGCGAAGCGTGAAGAGCTCCGCAGTATTAGCAGATCGCTGGACCAAGAGTTTGAAGTCTGTCAGCTGCGCTGGAGCCGCCTGGATCCTGCTGTACTAACGATCCTGGGCAAGACTTGGCAGTAGAGATGGGCGTGTGCACGGGTCGGCCACCGAAAGGTCGGCGGCCCCGCTGCACCATAAAAAAACGGGTGCACGGGCACCATGGAATCCTGGTTCGGCTGTACAGCGCGCGCGCCATCGTGCAGAACGCGCACGGCCCTCTACTACACAGGACCCGCAGGACGACAGAAGCAGAAACTGTCGGAGGTCCGCGCGGATCCAAGGAATCCGCGCGGAGCTCGGACAGCTTTCTGCACATCCAAAACCCCCGCCTGGGGGGATCGACCTTCGGGGACTCGGCAGGCCGTGGCTGTGGGGGGGCAGATATTTATCCACATCCACCGCCTGCCCAGGTCCCCGAACGTCGATCCCCCAGGCGCTGGCCATGGACAGAACTGCATCTCGGGCCGCCCCGGCCAGCTCTGGGACTGGGCGTGGAGGCTGGCGCGGCGGACGCCGTCGGCACTGAGCGGCGCTGGGCCTGGATAGGTGTCTCGCCTACTTACTGGTGCTGCCTCACCAGCACGAGCGACGAGGTGACCGCGCCCAGCCGCACACGGACCTGCTCGCCGCTGGGCAGCTCGATGGTGTACCGCTCGCCGCTGGCCGAGAGCACGCGGCCTTGCGCGCCGTTGAGGTCGGTGCGCCTCTGCATGCCCTCGATGGTCACCAGCGTCGAGGGAGGCAGCCTGATGCCCAGAAGGACAAACGACGGCGTGAGCATGAACTTGCGCAGCTCCGAACGGGATCTCTCGGATCGGCGCCCGGGACCCCCTTGCGGCGCCTCCGGCGCCAGCCCCGGCGCGCTCCGCGCGCCAGTAGAGGGGTTTTCCCGCGCCGATCCCAGAGATCTGCGGGGAGCGACAGCCATCCATGTTCATGCCTGATGCCGGCTTTTGCTCCTCAAGATGTGCTCTGGCCGGAGCGCTACGGGCTCGTCGGCGACCCCAGCGACGACGTAGCGGCCCTTGTCTGCGTCGAAGTAGGCCTCGGCGGCCACGCGGCCGTTCAGGTCCGCCCTCGAGGTGCCGACCACCTCGGCGCCCCGGAGCAGCTGCTGCAGGTTGCACGGCCTCACCGCCACGCTCCCGGTGCCGCTGCCGCCTCCTCCTGTGGGCGCCCGACGCGGGCCCGCAAAAAGGGGGCGCTCGTCGGCGGCATCCTGCCTCAAACGGACTACGTCCGCGGCGACGCCGACAGCGAGCGCTGTTCGAAGTGATGGGCAAAAACTGCATGAGGAAGGCACGGCAACCTGCATAAACAACTTCTTTTTCGTGCATCTGCGCAGGACCCACCAACCTGCTGCTGACGCGCGGAGCGCGCCAGGGGCCAGGTGGGTCCAGCGCAGATCCACGAAATCATCGTCTCTGCTTGTGCAATCTGCTCGTCTTGCCGTGCACTGCTGTCGGCCTTCATCCCCATAATCAGCTTCCGTGCCCCTGTCGGATCGCGCCGATCCTACGGCCACCAGGTAGCGCTGCCGCTCGTCGTCGAAGCCGACGACCTCCCCGCGCGCGCCGTTGAGGCCGGCGCTGGAGAGGCCCGCCAGCCGCACGCCCGTGCCGTCCTGCAGCAGGCCTGGGGAAGCAAAGGGAGGCACCGCCTTCACTGCTCCCCGGACTGAGGTCTGGGCGTGCCTTCTGACCGGCACTTCGGGGAGAGAGTCCGGCCGTGGCGACGAGGGCTCTCCAGGGCGAGCAGCGGTGTCGGGGCCTCCTCCTCCTCCTCCTCCTCCTCCTCCTCCTCCTCCTCCTCTGAGAAGGCCCAGCTGCGCTCCGCCGCCGCCTTTTCCCCACAATTGCACGGGCCGGCCCCCCCCCGAGCGTGCCGGCCCTGTTCCCCAGGGCCGGCGTGGCAGGTCCCGTGAGTCGTGTCCCTAGACACGGGCCTGGGGCCCGGCGAGGGCCCCTGGAGGCCGAGGCGGAGGGCCCCAGGCCCTCCGCAAGGACAGGCGGGGTGACGAGCGTGTCCTCTGGCGCATATATGGCAGGGCCGGCTCGGCACACTGTGCTTCTCCTCCCCGGTGGCGGGCCGAGCGGCGCGCCGCCGCCCCGCCGCCGGCGCTTCGGCGCCGCCCCGCAGCGCTCCGGGCTCGGCGAGGAGCTGCTGGCCGAGCCCAGGCCCCCGAGGCCGCCCAGCAGGCCCGCCAGCCCGTCGCCGCCGGGGCCGCCGGGGCCGCCGAGGCCGCCGAGGCCGCCGCCGAGGCCCGCGCCGCCGAAGAGGGAGCGGAAGAGGTCCTCCGCCCGCGCGCTGGACATGCCGCCGAACTCCTGCGCGCCGCCGCCCGAGGAGAAGACCACGCGCACGCCCGGCGGCAGGCCGCCCGCGCCGCCGAAGGCGGCGCCGGCGCCGCCGAAGGGGCCCGCGGCGCCGGCCGGCGGGCCGCTGGGGGGGGGGCCGCCCCGGAGGCCCTCCTCGCCGTGCTGGTCGTAGACGGCCCTCTTCTGCGGGTCGGACAGGGCCTCGAAGGCCTCGGCGACCTCCTTGAACTTCTCCTCGGCGGCCGCCTTCTGTGCCTCGGTGCTCTTGGAGTGCCTGTCGGGGTGCCACTTCAGCGCCATCTTGCGGTACCCCTTCTTGATGGCGTCGGCGGAGGCGTCGCGGGCGACGCCGAGGATCTGGTAGTAGTCCTTGCCCATGCTTGTGACGGACTCTTGGGCTCCTTGGACTGCGGGGCTCCTATAGGAGGAGGAGCTCCTACGACCAAGGAGCTGGAACACAAAATGCCTTGAGCCAGAATCGCTCCGGTTGCTGGTTGTCCAGGGTGGTCGTGAAAGGTCGGGGAAGTGCTCCCTCGTGAACTCGCGTCATCCGGACCTCCGGCGCGCGAAGAAGCGGAACTGCCCATCGCATCGCCCCCGAGGACTGAAAACCCGGAGTCCTCCAGATCCGAAGCAGGGACCCACAGCTGGCGGTTTCCCATCCAGGGGGCTCCTCGCAAAATCGGCCCCTGGAACACTCTCAAGAGCGCCCCAGCAGGGGGGGGGAAGGGAAGGGAGAGAGGAGAGGGAGGGGAACAGGGGTAAAAGGGAAGGGGCGAAGGAGGGGAGGAGGCGGGGGAGGAGCTGAAGGGGGTGGTAAGGTCACTACATACAACAAGTACCGCCCAACCGCAGAGCGACACAATCCCACCAGCCAGTTAGGGCGTAGGTGGTTTCTTCCCCTTCGGGGAGGAGAGGGCCATCAATGCTCCTGATTCCCTATTCGACCGGCCGCAAAACCAGGAAACACACCATGAGAGCCCCCACCATGTCTGCACCATAACAATAACCAAAGAACGCGCGTGGCGGCAAAATCTGGATTGCAAGCGGGACACATGCGAGCATGTGGCATTGCCTTTTGACTCGGACGGCGGGGGTGTGAGCAGACGTGTCCGCTGCGCGCTGCCCCACCATCCCTGTCAAAGACACATGCTAACTCATTGAGGGTGCACACGTCATACACCTTCCGGCCGCCCCGCTCTCACTTCGAACTGGCTGCTGACCCAGATGGTCGCGGAGTTGGACAGATTGCCCGATGTGTGCTGGCACATGCACTGGCGCACCTGGCGCACCCTGAGCGCGTCGTGCACCTGGCGCACCTGGCGCGGCTGGAGCAGCCGTCGTACTTGGTGCACGTGGCGACTCTGGCGCACCAGGCACGCCTGGCGAACTCAGGCCCCGAGGGCACCTGGCGCACGTGGTGCACGCAGCGCACCGGGCACGCGAGGCGCACCTGGCGAGTGTCGAGCGCCTGGAGTGGCAACCTGTACCTCGGCTGACTCACGGGTGCGATTCACATGGTGGGAAGGAGAGCGTGCGTGAGCGACACAGCTCGTGGCGCGAGCACTTGGGAAGGAGAGCGTGCGTGAGCACTTGGGAACTGCATACAAAAAAAAACACCCGCGAGCTTCGCGCGCGCGATCAGGTTCTAGCAAGCTGCAGCCCTTCCTAAGCTCACAGCTGCGTGCAGATGTGCACCGACAACTGGAAGTGCAGTGGACTAAGCAGCGAGGGAGCGGACCGACGCACGACGGACTGCCGAGAGAAGAAGGGTGGGCCCCTGCGAGCTCGAACGCCGCAGCAGTGCCGAGGAGGGCAGGGAAGCGAATGCGGAACAACTGCAGGTGGCAGTGCAGTGCACAGCGTTTTGCCATGGAAACCGAACGCGGGGGCGATGCGACGGAGCGCAGGTCGATGCCCTGCAGGGGGGGGCCCATCGTGGAGTCCGAGGCCCCGGCGAAGGGCTCGTCTGCGGCCCAGGCGCCGCGACGCGCGGGGCCCGGTGATCTCTTCGGAAGCCCCCCGCCGGTGGCCCGGACGAGGCACCCGCCGCGGAGAGCACGGGCCGCTGGTCGAGAGGGCAGCGAGGAGGAGGGGCTGGGGAGAGCGAGGCCAGCACTCCCCGTGGCCAGACCTCACTTCGGTAGGGCCTCCAAGAACTCCCTCAGAGAGGAGCGAGAGGGCCTCGACAGGTGGCTCCAGTAACTGTAGGGGTTTCTCCGGAGGCCCTCAGAGCTCGCAGAGGGCGGTCATTGCCGGGGGGGTGCACCGGCTGACGCTGACTTCGGCTTGTCTGGGATCCCCCCTCTCGGGTCGTCCACTACCCTTCTCCCGACAGCTGGCCTACGAATGGCTTCTGGATGGGCCGGTGGGTGTACGCGAAGCGTGAAGAGCTCCGCAGTATTAGCAGATCGCTGGACCAAGAGTTTGAAGTCTGTCAGCTGCGCTGGAGCCGCCTGGATCCTGCTGTACTAACGATCCTGGGCAAGACTTGGCAGTAAAGATGGGCGCGTGCACGGGTCGGCCACCGAAAGGTCGGCGGCCCCGCTGCACCATAAAAAAACGGGTGCACGGGCACCATGGAATCCTGGTTCGGCTGTACAGCGCGCGCGTCATCGTGCCGAACGCGCACGGCCCTCTACTACACAGGACCCGCAGGACGACGTAAACAGAAACCGTCGGAGGTCCGCGCGGACCCAAGGCATCCGCGCGGAGCTCGGACAGCTTTCTATGCATATCCAAAACCCCCGCCTGGGGGGATCGACCTTCGGGGACTCGGCAGGCCGTGGCTGTGGGGGGGCAGATATATATCCACATCCACCGCCTGCCCAGGTCCCCGAACGTCGATCCCCCAGGCGCTGGCCATGGATAGAACTGCATCTCGGGCCGCCCCGGCCAGCTCTGGGACTGGGCGTGGAGGCTGGCGCGGCGGACGCCGTCGGCACCGAGCGGCGCTGGGCCTGGATAGGTGTCTCGCCTACTTACTGGTGCTGCCTCACCAGCACGAGCGACGAGGTGACCGCGCCCAGCCGCACACGGACCTGCTCGCCGCTGGGCAGCTCGATGGTGTACCGCTCGCCGCTGGCCGAGAGCACGCGGCCTTGCGCGCCGTTGAGGTCGGTGCGCCTCTGCATGCCCTCGATGGTCACCAGCGTCGAGGGAGGCAGCCTGATGCCCAGAAGGACAAACGACGGCGTGAGCATGAACTTGCGCAGCTCCGAACGGGATCTCTCGGATCGGCGCCCGGGACCCCCTTGCGGCGCCTCCGGCGCCAGCCCCGGCGCGCTCCGCGCGCCAGTAGAGGGGTGTCCCGCGCCGATCCCAGAGATCTGCGGGGAGCGACAGCCACCCATGTTCATGCCTGATGCCGGCTTTTGCTCCTCAAGATGTGCTCTGGCCGGAGCGCCACGGGCTCGTCGGCGACCCCGGCGACGACGTAGCGGCCCTTGTCTGCGTCGAAGTAGGCCTCGGCGGCCACGCGGCCGTTCAGGTCCGCCCTCGAGGTGCCGACCACCTCGGCGCCCCGGAGCAGCTGCTGCAGGTTGCACGGCCTCACCGCCACGCTCCCGGTGCCGCTGCCGCCTCCTCCTGTGGGCGCCCGACGTGGGCCCGCAAAAAGGGGGCGCTCGTCGGCGGCATCCCGCCTCAAACGGACTACGTCCGCGGCGACGCCGACAGCGAGCGCTGTTCGAAGTGATGGGCAAAAACTGCATGAGGAAGGCACGGCAACCTGCATAAACAACTTCTTGGATGGTCACCGCGAATTTCGTGCATCTGCGCAGGACCCACCAACCTGCTGCTGACGCGCAGATCCACGAAATCAGCGTCTCTGCTTGTGCAATCTGCTCGTCTTGCCGTGCACTGCTGTCGGCCTTCATCCCCATAATCAGCTTCCGTGCCCCTGTCGGATCGCGCCGATCCTACGGCCACCAGGTAGCGCTGCCGCTCGTCGTCGAAGCCGACGACCTCCCCGCGCGCGCCGTTGAGGCCGGCGCTGGAGAGGCCCGCCAGCCGCACGCCCGTGCCGTCCTGCAGCAGGCCTGGGGAAGCAAAGGGAGGCACCGCCTTCACTGCTCCCCGGACTGAGGTCTGGGCGTGCCTTCTGACCGGCACTTCGGGGAGAGAGTCCGGCCGTGGCGACGAGGGCTCTCCAGGGCGAGCAGCGGTGTCGGGGCCTCCTCCTCCTCCTCCTCCTCCTCCTCCTCCTCCTCTGAGAAGGCCCAACTGCGCTCCGCCGCCGCCTTTTCCCCACAATTACACGGGCCGGCCCCCCCCGAGCGTGCCGGCCCTGTTCCCCAGGGCCGGCGTGGCAGGTCCCGTGAGTCGTGTCCCTGGACACGGGCCTGGGGCCCGGCGAGGGCCCCTGGAGGCCGAGGAGGGCCCCAGGCCCTCCGCAAGGACAGGCGGGGTGACAAGCCTGTCCTCTGGCGCATATATGGCAGGGCCGGCTCGGCACACTGTGCTTCTCCTCCCCGGTGGCGGGCCGAGCGGCGCGCCGCCGCCCCGCCGCCGGCGCTTCGGCGCCGCCCCGCAGCGCTCCGGGCTCGGCGAGGAGCTGCTGGCCGAGCCCAGGCCCCCGAGGCCGCCCAGCAGGCCCGCCAGCCCGTCGCCGCCGGGGCCGCCGGGGCCGCCGGGGCCGCCGAGGCCGCCGAGGCCGCCGCCGAGGCCCGCGCCGCCGAAGAGGGAGCGGAAGAGGTCCTCCGCCCGCGCGCTGGACATGCCGCCGAACTCCTGCGCCCCGCCGCCCGAGGAGAAGACCACGCGCACGCCCGGCGGCAGGCCGCCCGCGCCGCCGAAGGCGGCGCCGGCGCCGCCGAAGGGGCCCGCGGCGCCGGCCGGCGGGCCGCTGGGGGGGGGGCCGCCCCGGAGGCCCTCCTCGCCGTGCTGGTCGTAGACGGCCCTCTTCTGCGGGTCGGACAGGGCCTCGAAGGCCTCGGCGACCTCCTTGAACTTCTCCTCGGCGGCCGCCTTCTGTGCCTCGGTGCTCTTGGAGTGCCTGTCGGGGTGCCACTTCAGCGCCATCTTGCGGTACCCCTTCTTGATGGCGTCGGCGGAGGCGTCGCGGGCGACGCCGAGGATCTGGTAGTAGTCCTTGCCCATGCTTGTGATGGACTCTTGGGCTTCTTGGACTGCGGGGCTCCTATAGGAGGAGGGGCTCCTATGACCAAGGAGCTGGAACACAAAATGCCTTGAGCCAGAATCGCTCCGGTTGCTGGTTGTCCAGGGTGGTCGTGAAAGGTCGGGGAAGTGCTCTCTCGTGAACTCACGTCATCTGGACCTCCGGCGCGCGAAGAAGTGGAACTGCCCATCGCATCGCCCCCGAGGGCTGAGAACCCGGAGTCCTCCAGATCCGAAGCAGGGACCCACAGCTGGCTGTTTCCCATCCAGGGGGCTCCTCGCAAAATCGGCCCCTGGAACACTCTCAAGAGCGCCGCAGCAGGGGGGGGGAAGGGAAGGGAGAGAGGAGAGGGGGAGGGGAACAGGGGCAAAAGGGAAGGGGCGAAGGAGGGGAGGAGGCGGGGGAGGAGCTGAAGGGGGTGGTAAGGTCACTACGTACAACAAGTACCGCCCAACCGCAGAGCGACACAATCCCACCGGCCAGTTAGGGCGTAGGTGGTTTCTTCCCCTTCGGGGAGGAGAGGGCCATCAATGCTCCTGATTCCCTAACAACACCTCCCCTATTCTACCGGCCGCAAAACCAGGAAACACACCATGAGACCCCCCACCATGTCTGCACCATAGCAATGACCAAAAAAAACGCGCGTGGCGGTAAAATCTGGATTGCAAGCGGGACACATGCGAGCATGTGGCATTGCCTTTTGACTCGGACGGCGGGGGTGTGAGCAGACGTGTCCGCTGCGCGCTGCCCCACAATCCCTGTCAAAGACACATGCAAACTCATTGAGGGTGCACACGTCATACACCTTCCGGCCGCCCCGCTCTCACTTCGAACTGGCTGCTGACCCAGATGGTCGCGGAGTTGGACAGATTGCCCGATGTGTGCTGCCACATGCACTGGCGCACCTGGCGCACCCTGAGCGCGTCGTGCACCTGGCGCACCTGGCGCGGCTGGAGCAGCCGTCGTACTTGGTGCACGTGGCGACTCTGGCGCAGCAGGCACGCCTGGCGAACTCAGGCCCCGAGGGCACATGGCGCACGTGGTGCACGCAGCGCACCGGGCACGCGAGGCGCACCTGGCGAGTGTCGAGCGCCTGGAGTGGCAACCTGTACCTTGGCTGACTCACGGGTGCGATTCACATGGTGGGAAGGAGAGCGTGCGCGAGCGACACAGCTCGTGGCGCTCCTGTTGGGAACTGGATCGCTGTTCCACATTCATACTAAAACCTCCCGCGAGCTTCGCGCGCGCCTAGGTTCTAGCAAGCTGCAGCACTTCATAAGCTCACAACTGCGTGCAGATGTGCACCGACAACTGGAAGAGGAGTTGACTAAGCAGCGAGGGAGCGGACCGACGTACGACGGGCTGCCGAGAGAAGAAGGGTGGACCCCTGCGAGCTCCGAATTGAAGCAGTGCAAAGGACAGCAAGAAGGCGAATGCAGTCCGCTGCAAATGGCAATGCAGTGCACAGCGTTGCCATGGGAAACAGATGCAAGGGCAATGCAAAACGGAGCGTAAGTCAATGCCGTTTGGGCGGGGCCGGCCGTCTTGGAGTCCGAAGCCCCTGAGAAGGGCTCTTCTCCGGCCCAGGCCTCGACGCGCGGGGCTCGATGATGTTCGCGCTTCCGCCGGTGGCCCAGGAAACCCCCTGCCTCGACCGAGCCAGCTTCGAGCACCTGCCGTCGGGAGCACGGGCCTCTGGTCGAGAGGGCATTGACGAGAGGGGAGGAGCGAGGGCGAGTCCAGCGCTCCCCATGGCACGAGTGTCCCCATGCAGACCCCAGAGCCCCGCGGGTGGTCCAGACGACGCCCTGCCAAGACCGATCCAGCCTGGAGCATCTGCAGTCTGGAGCACGGGCGTCCTGGTCGAGAAGGCAGCGGGGGGGGGGAAGAGAGATCGAGTTCAGCACTCCCCTGACAAGAGTGTGCCCATGCAGACCTTTTGTAGGGTCTCAAGAATTCCGACGCTAAATCGAAGCTAGTCGACGCTAGCAGGTGCTAAATCGGCACTACCTCATCCACTCCCAGACGCCCATCGACGCTGTAGACGGATCACGAGGGTATACAAAATTCCGATGGCTTGCTACCGAAACAAAAATGGCTCCAAGAGGCATTCTCCGAAGGCCCTCAGAGCTCGCAAAGATGGTCATTGCTGGGGGCTGCTCCGTCTGACGTTAACCTCGATTTGTCTGGGATCCCCCTCTTGGGTCGTCCACTTCCATGATCCGACAACTGGCCTACGAATCGCCTCTGGATGGGCCAATGGGTGCACGCGAAGCGTCAAGAGCTCTGCATTATCATCAAATCGCTGGTCCAAGAGTTTGCGCCGCCTGGATTCTGCTGTACTGACGATCCTGGGCCGGACTTGGCAATGAAGATGGGCGTGCGCACGGGTCGAACACCGAAAGATCGGCGGCCTCGCTGCACAATAAGAAACGGTTGCACGGGCACATTGGAGCGCGCAACCAGAATGCACAAGATGACAAGTGGAAATTCAATAAGCTTAGGAGGCTGAAGCGCCCACACCGCTCCAGGGAGTGGGGAGGAGAGCGCGAAACCATACTGCACACGATGACGAGTGGGAATGCCCAATTCTCAAGAACCTCTAGCTAGATATACCTCGCAGAAAAATGCTGACGCGCAAGCACCGCTCCAGACGCTGGGGAGGAAAGCGCGAAACCATACTGTACACGATGATGAGTGGGAATGTGATAAGCTTAAGAACCTCTAGCTAAAGATACCTCGCGGAAAAATGCTGACGCGCAAACACCGCCCCAGGGGCTGGGGAGGAAAGCGCGAAACCATACTGCGCACGATAATAAGTGGAAGTTCCACGCCTTACCCATCCAGAATGGCTGGAGGGAATTGTACTGGCCTCTTATGCACCGGTCACTGTCGAATCAAGTTCGGCACCAGGGGCCTTCGTTTGAAAGGCCGTGTACGGCACGGACGAATGGTGCAAGAAGATGCGCACCTTGCCGTCGTCGCAGCGTTGGTAGACAAAGGTGTACTCGACTTTGGATTTCTCTCCAGTTGTTGCGCAGGTGAAGTAGTAGTTGCCCATGGCGATGGCGACATGACCATCGAGATCGATCTGGTGGTTGTCATACACGCAATCCGACCAGCCCTTGCCCCCATTGATCTCAAAACCTCCGTCCTCAGCGTACCCATGTTCGACAGCCTTGCAGCCGACAAGATAGGACATGGCATCTTCGGCCTTCGGCCGGAACTGGTGTTGGGCGGCCTTGGTCGGCTCGAAAAGCACGTCGTACTTGCCGTAGGCGTAGAGCTCACCAGCTGCGGTAGCAGCGGCCTGGACGTAGTCGCCATTCTCCATGTAGATCCTCGAAATCTTTTTGATCGCGCCCCCCCCCATGCGTTCTGAACAGCGATCACATCTTCCCGGGTGACCGCTGCTACGCTGGCCGCCAAATGACCCTTGGGGTCCGCTGCTTTACCGGAGACGTCGTACGGCACGGACGAATGGTGCAAGAAGATGCGCACCTTGCCGTCGTCGCAGCGTTGGTAGCCAAAGGTGTACTCGACTTTGGATTTCTCTCCAGTTGTTGCGCAGGTGAAGTAGTAGTTGCCCATGGCGATGGCGACATCGATCTTGAGTGCGATTTGGTGGTTGTCGCACACGCAATCCGACCAGCCCTTGCCCCCATTGATCGCAAAACCTCCGTCCTCAGCGTACCCGTGTTCGACAGCCTTGCAGCCGACAAAATAGGACATGGCATCTTCCGCCTTCGGCCGGAACTGGTGTTGGGCGGCCTTGGTCGGCTTGAAAAGCACGTCGTACTTGCCGTAGGCGTAGAGCTCACCAGCTGCGGTAGCAGCGGCCTGGACGTAGTCGCCATTCTCCATGTAGATCCTCGAAATATTTTTGATCGCGCCCGCCCATGCGTTCTGAACAGCGATCGCATCTTCCCGGGTGACCGCTGCTGTGCTGGCCGCCAAATGACCCCTGGGGTCCGCTGCTTTACCGGAGACGTCGTACGGCACGGACGAATGGTGCAAGAAGATTCGCACCTTGCCGTCGTCGCAGCGTTGGTAGCCAAAGGTGTACTCGACTTTGGATTTCTCTCCAGTTGTTGCGCAGGTGAAGTAGTAGTTGCCCATGGCGATGGCGACATGACAATTGAGATCGATCTGGTGGTTGTCATACACGCAATCCGACCAGCCCATGCCGCCATTGATCGCAAAACCTCCGTCCTCAGCGTACCCATGTTCGACAGACTTGCAGCCGACAAAATAGGACATGGCATCTTCGGCCTTCGGCCGGAACTGGTGTTGGGCGGCCTTGGTCGGCTTGAAAAGCACGTCGTACTTGCCGTAGGCGTAGAGCTCACCAGCTGCGGTAGCAGCGGCCTGGACGTAGTCGCCATTCTCCATATAGATCCTCGAAATATGTTTGATCGCGCCCGCCCATGCGTTCTGAACAGCGATCACATCTTCCCGGGTGACCGCTGCTACGCTGGCCGCCAAATGACCCTTGGGGTCCGCTGCTTTACCGGAGACGTCGTACGGCACGGACGAATGATGCAAGAAGATGCGCACCTTGCCGTCGTCGCACCGTTTATACCCGAAGGTGTACTCGACTTTGGATTTCTCTCCAGTTGTTGCGCAGGTGAAGTAGTAGTTGCCCATGGCGATGGCGACATCGATATTGAGTGTGATTTGGTGGTTGTCGCACACGCAATCCGACCAGCCCTTGCCACCATTGATCGCAAAACCTCCGTCCTCAGCGCACCCATGTTCGACAGACTTGCAGCCGACAAAATAGGACATGGCATCTTCGGCCTTCGGCCGGAACTGGTGTTGGGCGGCCTTGGCCGGCTTGAAAAGCACGTCGTACTTGCCGTAGGCGTAGAGCTCACCAGCTGCGGTAGCAGCGGCCTGGACGTAGTCGCCATTCTCCATGTAGATCCTCGAAATCTGTTTGATCGCGCCCGCCCATGCTTTCTGAACAGCGATCACATCTTCCCGGGTGACCGCTGCTGTGCTGGCCGCCAAATGACCCCTGGGGTCCGCTGCTTTACCGGAGACGTCGTACGGCACGGACGAATGGTGCAAGAAGATTCGCACCTTGCCGTCGTCGCAGCGTTGGTAGCCAAAGGTGTACTCGACTTTGGGTTTCTCTCCAGTTGTTGCGCAGGTGAAGTAGTAGTTGCCCATGGCGATGGCGACATGACAATTGAGATCGATCTGGTGGTTGTCATACACGCAATCCGACCAGCCCATGCCGCCATTGATCGCAAAACCTCCGTCCTCAGCGTACCCATGTTCGACAGCCTTGCAGCCGACAAAATAGGACATGGCATCTTCGGCCTTCGGCCGGAACTGGTGTTGGGCGGCCTTGGTCGGCTTGAAAAGCACTTCGTACTTGCCGTAGGCGTAGAGCTCACCAGCTGCGGTAGCAGCGGCCTGGACGTAGTCGCCATTCTCTATGTAGATCCTCGAAATCTTTTTGATCGCGCCCGCCCATGCGTTCTGAACAGCGATCACATCTTCCCGGGTGACGTCGGCCCCCGCCGCCCCAACAACGCCAGCCCTCGCCGCTCCCACGACTTCCGTTGCCCGGGACGTCGGCGTGGACCTGCACAGACCGAACATGGCGAAAGCTCGGCTGGCGAGACAGCCACACACCGATGGCGCGTTGGCTGCGTGTCAACCACACTTGAGCAAGAATATCTACGGACCCTCTGCCTGTCTACGCGGGCTCTCGCCCATTTCCCCATGCGTGCACGGCGAATACCGGAAATGTCAGCCCAAGGACCCCGAAAAGGCTCCCAAGAGGCCCTAGGAGGTGCAAACGAGGCCCTCAGGAGAAACACGCAACAACCGCCAGTTCCCCAAGGGGTCGGCGGCGTGGCGTAAGCCCTCCTGAGGGCCCTACTGAGGGCTCCTACTGAGACAGGAGGATACGGAGGAGGAGGAGCAGGGAGGAGGAGGAGGATACGGAGGAGGAGGAGGAGGAGGAGGAGGAGGAGGAGGAGGAGGAGGGAGGAGGAGGAGGAGGAGGAGGAGGAGGAGGAGGGAGGAGGAGCGAGGAGAAGGAGGAGGAGGAGGAAGACCCTCCTGAGGGCCCCTACTGAGACCTCTTGGAGGCCTCCTCGGCCCGTCTGCGGCGCTGCGTGGGCTGCCGGACACCCCACCAGGCCCCGCCCCCCTAGCGCGGGCCCAGCCTCCTGACCCTGGGGGGGCGGAGTTTGTCTACGGCAGGTTCGTGTCGTGCCGACCCCAGCGTTGGTTTTTGACACCGCAGGGATCGTTCAACCTTGCACGATCGGCCGCTGCCGCAACGTCCGATCGTTCAACATCGATCGATTCTTGGTCGCCGGCGGCGTTCAACCTTGAACGCCCGCGCTGGGGTCGCCGCTGGTCGACACGACGCAAACCTACCGTACAGGGGAGGGCGGGGGTGGACAAAAAAGACTGCGGTTCTGGAAGATTGGTGCGAGGCCGAGTCCAAGGCCTGCATCTCGTCAAGCTTCGAACTTCAAGGGAACGCTTGAGCCTCCTCCTCCTCCTCCCCCTCCTCATTCTTCTCCCTCTCCTTCTCCTCCTCCTCCTTCTATGCTCTGGTGTTCTGGGGAACGAGTCCCAGAGCCGACGGAACAGGTCTTGAGGAGACGGCTCGAAAGGATCAAGTAGAAAGAGGGGAGGAGTAGTCATAAAGGGGGAGATGAGAAAGCGTGAAGGGGGAGAAGGAAAAGATATCTTGGGCGATCGTGGGCCGTCTTGGAGGCCTCGTGAACTGTCATGTCGCGGTCGTGGACCGTCTTGGAGCCTTCTTGGGACCCTCTTGGGCCAGCATGAGGGCCGGATGGGCGCGAAGGCGCCACGAAAAGCAGAAGCACAAACATAATTTAAACACATGTGGTACTCACAACTCCTGGCCTCCAGCACAACTTGTTCACGCTCTCTTCTTTGGGCCATTTTGGCCTTCTGGAAGCTTCTTGGGCCGTCTTGTGGCTGTATGTTGACGCCGACGGGCCTTCTTGGGCCTTCCGAGGGCGTCCAGGATTCCCGAAAGCACTTAGTATTTACCTAACAGCGAAGACTGATAGGTTTCCAGTGGGGTCAAAAGAAAGCATCTTGACTCCCCAGGGGGGTCTGGGCAGGATCCAGGGGATGCCAGGGAAAACTGGGGACTCCCCAAAACCTTATCCCAGGCCACATTTTGAATGCCCGGAGCCAACTGTAGGCCACTTCGTGTTCTTCGTGTTCCCAGAACACCATTCCCAGACCACATTTTGAATGCCCGGAGCCAACTGTAGGCCACTTCGTGTTCTTTGTGTTCCCAGAACACCGTTCCCAGGCCACATTTTGAATGCCCGGAGCCAACTGTAGGCCACTTCGTGTTCTTCGTGTTCCCAGAAAACTATTCCCAAGCCACATTTTGAATGCCCGGAGCCAACTGTAGGCCACTTCGTGTTCTTCCTGTTCCCAGAACACCACTCCTGTACAATATTTTGATTGCCCGGAGCCAACTGTGGGCCACTTCGTGATCTTCGTGTTCCCAGATTGCAATCCTGTGCCATATTTTGAATGCCCGAGCTGAGGCAGGCTGAGGCTGAGGCAGGCTGAGGCTGAGGCAGGCGAAGGCTGAGGCTGAGGCATGCCGAGGCAGGCTGAGGCTGAGGCTGAGGCAGGCTGAGGCTGAGGCAGGCTGAGGCTGAGGCCGACGCAGGCTGAGGCAGGCTGAGGCTGAGGCTGAGGCTGAGGCTGAGGCAGGCTGAAACTGAGGCTGAGGCAGGCTGAGGCTGAGGCTGAGGCTGATGCAGGCTGAGTCTGAGAGGCTGAGGCTGAGGCTGAGGCAGGCTAAGGCTGAGGCTGAGGCGAGGCAGGCTGAGGCTGAGGCTGAGGCAAGCCGAGGCAGGCTGAGGCTGAGGCTGAGGCTGAGGCAGGCTGAGGCTGAGGCTGAGGCAGGCTGAGGCTGAGGCAGGCTGAGGCTGAGGCTGAGGCTGATGCAGGCTGAGGCTGAGGCAGGCTGAGGCTGAGGCTGAGGCAGCTGAGGCTGAGGCTGAGGCAGGCTGAGGCTGAGGCTGAGGCTGAGGCTGAGGCTGAGGCTGAGGCTGAGGCTGAGGCTGAGGCTGAGGCTGAGGCAGGCTGAGGCTGAGGCCGAGGCAGGCTCAGGCCGAGACAGGCTGAGGCTGAGACTGAGGCTGAGGCTGAGGATGAGGCCGAGGCAGGCCGAAGCTGAGACAAGGTGAGGCTGAATGGGGGGGGGAAGGGGGGGGGAGGGGGAGGCTGAGGCAGGCTGAGGCCGAGGCAGGCTGAGGCCGAGGCAGGCTGAGGCTGAGGCTGAGGCTGAGGCTGAGGCTGAGGCTGAGGCTGAGGCTGAGGCTGAGGCTGAGGCAGGCTGAGGCTGAGGCAGGCTGAGGCTGAGGCTGACGCAGGCTGAGGCCGATGCAGGCTGAGGCTGAGGCTGAGGCAGGCTGAGGCCGAGGCCGAGGCAGGCTGAGGCTGAGGCTGAGGCAAGCCGAAGCAGGCTGAGGCTGAGGCTGAAACTGAGGCAGGCTGAGGCATCCGTAGGAATCCATAGGAATCCATAGGAATCCTTAGGATTCCGTAGGCATCCTTAGGAATCCGTAGGCATAGTTAAGCATCCTCGGGAATCCTTAGGAACCCTTAGGATTCCTCAGGAATCCTTCGGAATCCCTAGGAATCAGGATTCCTAAGGATTCATCAGGTTTCCTAAGGATTCCCATGGATTCCTAAGGATGCCTAAGGATGCCTTAGGAACCCCTCGGAATCCTTAGGATTCCATTGGATCCTAAGGCCGTTGCCACTGCGACTGTCATTGCGAATGCGACTGCGACTGCGAGAACAGCAGAATGCTACAACTGGATTATCACCTGAATCTTAATGGGAATACTTCCAGATATGCTTATACACATCGCTGCTAGGTTGCTTTGCCGGGATAATTTCTGCACCCGTAACCAGTCCGTCGTGATACACATTATGAAAGATGCTGATCGTACTCCATACTTGCAGCCGATGCGTAGGCATAACGCCGCAATAAAGCAGAGGCACCTAAATCTTGGGCTGCCGCAGAAACTGATGACTCAAATAATGACGTGCTTGCGCCAAACTTGAGCCAAACTGGCTACGGAAATGTTTGGGGCGTCTCTTGGGGCCTCTTGGGGCTCTCGCGGGAGCTCTTCAAAGCCTCCGGGAACCCTCTTCGGCGATGGGCACCTCTGGGGCGGGTCCTGAGATCTCGTTGGGGCCTCTTCCGAGCGAGCGTCTTTGGGGCCTCGGTGGTGCCTCTTCGGGCATTATGGGAACCTCTTGTGGCATCTTGGGGCCCCTTCGCGCTGCTCGGGGCGCCTCCTTGGGGCATCTCGGAGCTCCCTTGGGGGGCATGCGCAAGCCTTGGAAGCCTATCGGAGGTGGAAATGCGGGAACACAGAAAACCATAGATTTGAACTTGTGTGTTCCATGACCTTGGCCTCTCGGGGGCTTCCCCTGAGCTCATCGGGGACTCTTGGAGGCCTCTTCGGGCGATCTTGGGTTTTGGTGTCCGTTCAATGGGAATCTGCGTGGCCCCGGGCACTGTCCAATTTGGGCCTGATTTGGACCTGATTTGGAACAAATTCGGACTGGATTCGGACCAGACTTGGAATGAATTCGTGGGGGCAAGGAGAACGAGGAGGGGGAGGGGGAACAGGAGGGGAGAGGAGGAGCAGGAGGATGGGCCAAATGCGGTCCCCACGCTGTCCAAATGCAGGAAACGCTGATTTCAATGTCGCCGCCCAAGGCTCCCATGAACAGACATCGAATTGGGTGCTCTTGGGAGCCTCCAGAGCCGCCGGGGAGCTGCCTTGCACGGCCTCGGAGCGCCTCGAGGCCCTCCCGGGGGCTCTCCGTGGACGCCCGGGAGGATGGCGCCCAGGCTTCGCCGCCGATGGCTGCGAGGAGCGCGGGGCCCCACCCAGGGGAGGTGCGGGGCGTCTGTTTGCGTACATCTGCTTGTGCATGATCCTCCTCCTCCTCCTCCTCCTCCTCAATCCTCCTCCTCCTCCTCCTACTCCTCCTCCTCCTCCTCCTCCTCCTCCTCTTCCTCCTCCTCCTCCTCCTCCTCCTCCTCTACGAAGTGGCGTGCTCCAAGGCTCGCGCAGCACCGCCGCCGCAGCCAGGACTTCAGTCTCCAGCGGCACGGGCCACAGTCGCTCCCCGGGTGTCCCCGGGGTCCGCCAGGTATGCGCTCGCGTCGGCCTGACCCGCCCAGGAGGGCCCCAGAACGAGCCAGACGTCGGGGCCAGAAGCCAGGGGGGCCTCTCCCCCCCCCCACCCCCCCCCCCCACCCACCCCCCCAGGAAGAACCTACATAAGGGTCTGGACCCCCGCCGCCCCCCCGGGGAGGATCCCACGGCGAAATTCGTGGGGTGGGTTTCAGCCCCCCGCCTCCCAGAAAACCATCGGTGGGGTCCGGACCCCGACCCACGGCCTCGCCGACGCCGACGGCAACGACGACGGCGACGACGCCGACGACGACGACGACAACGCACGACGCATCAACGACAACGACAACGACGCACGACGCACGACGCGATGACGACAACGACAACGACGACGACAACGACAACAACGACGACGATAACGACGACGCCGACGCCGACGACGACGACGAGGCCGACGACGACGACGACGACAAGGCCGACGACGACGACGCCGATGACGATGACGACGACGACGCCGACAACGTAGCCGACTAAGACGACGACGGCGACGAGCAGAGCAGAGCAGGCGTCGAGTAGAGTATAATAGG